AAGGGAGGTGAGTAAAAAACAGGGCTCAGAGTAAGAGAAAAAGAAAGAAAACAAGGATACACCAGGGGAAAAGAGAAAAGCGGCCATGACTGGTAGAAAGCCAGTACCACTTTGCTGAAGTTTGGCACCTGGTTAGGAGAGCCTGTAAGGAGCCTAGCTGGGCTGGCTAAGCGTGATGATATGAGATAGGGACTGGTGTTTCTAATCACACGCCCTACTGTAGATAAACGCCAAAGCTGATAGACCTCTTTTTCTAGTCTTGACATATCCTAGGGGAAGGACGGAGTTACAGGTGCTTGTCTGTAAGGATGTTATATTCACAGGAACTGGTACTTGATTACTTAAATTGCATGCTGGTGAAAACTTCCTTTGCTTGCTGCCTGTTCAGCTGTCTGAGGCAAAGACAATCCCCAATCGTTATTGCAAAAGCTGCTACCTCAGCTCCCTCCAGAGCTGGGGCCTGTGTTTAGTGTTCTCCCCTCTCTAGTGAAAGAGTTTTTTTTTTTTTTCTCCCCAGGTCCTGGTGTGGCATCTCTGCTGTTACCAGCTACGACATTATTTTTTCAGGCCCAAGATATGGCCTTGGCAGATCTGCTGTCCGTCTTCTTTCCAGTCTGCCAAGTCTTTCACTCCTAGAAGGTCAGCTTTTGGTCCCTCTTGAGGGTTGAGGATGCTTTGAGCTTCAGGCAGCTACTGCAAGTCTCAGGATGCTTTTAAATTTGATTTGTTTTTCATGAGTCTTTTACCGTCTCATGTCAAGCTGAGTTTGAACCTGCACCCTTGGGAACTGGTAATGCTGTCCAGATTTGAGATGCCCCCATGGTATCCTCCTCACAACAGCCTCCACCTTCGGATTCCTTTGGAGTATACACTGCCAAGGCTTCAAGGGCACAGTGCATCGGACCTGCATTGGTCCTTGGTAGCAGATCCTTTCAGAGCAACATGTGCTAGGAACAGCCTCCTAGCATTTAGATACGCCTACTTTACTATGTCGAGTGTTATGAGCTAGCTTTGTGTGGGCTATTTCATAATGCTCTACACGTGCACGGAAAAATTAATTTCAATTAGTCTAGATTAGAATCCACAGGCATGGCTAGATACTTGTTGAACCCAAGCTGATATAAGCTGTATTTGCAGGGATGGTACAAGGTGATCTAGCATTAGGTTTCACTTGATTTAATGTCTTCACTGATGGTACAGAAGAGTAGAAAAAATGTTGCAATATGACATTTTAAAATGATTCTAAACTCCTTGCAGATCCCCTAAGAGGAAGAAGGGGTTTATGTGTCTTGATGAACATAAGCATGAAAACACGAGATAAAAAATAATATATACAGTCAACCTGAACAAACTCAGGTACAATAAAGCATAGGAAAAAATAATCCTAAATTATCTGAGTCGTTCTCCAGCACGGTCTGAGGAGGCAGTATAAATCTATATGAAAGATCTGTTAAGGTGGTTTCACAGTTCCCTGCTACTCAAGAGCAGCTCATATTAGCTGTAGCAAACCAGTGGCTTTAGATGCACAACTACATTGAAATAAGTCTTATAAAAAATGAAGAAAAACTGTTTATTTTAAAGTGTAAGTTCCTTCTTGTTCCAAAGACATTCAAGGGAAATAAAACAAATTAAAAAACACAGAGGCTGTGAACTCTATTTAGCTCAAGCCAAAACGATATCAATTGTAGCAGGTTTTCTCCCTCTGTGCACACGGAATGAAATTTCCATTTAATATAGCGTTTACAGTTTTCCTCTCGGGGGAGAGAGACAAGTCTTAATGGGAGCTGAGAGATTAAACTACACTAGGTATGAAAGAGCTGGCGGAAAAGAGTCATGAGCTAAACACATCTTGGCCTAGTAGCCCCTGCCCTCCTAGTGGGTCCAGAAAAGAAAAATTATAAGGAGAGGGAGGAAGAAGTGGGAGGAAACTTTCAGCAAAATAAGGAACTCCATTGAGTGTTCTGAATTCAGCAGATCTCTGAAAGAAACATCTGCCATTGAAAAGCATCCAACTACATCTTTTGCTGTCATTCAGAGTGCTTCTTAACACTGCCTATGAAACAGGCTACTTCATTCAGACATGAAGAAACAGAAGCATGAAACCTTATTACTATTTCCCACTGCTCTTCACATTTATTTGCTTTGGAAAATCATAGATTCTGCAAACCATGGACTGCTGAAGTCTCTTAGCGCTAACATTAACGGCTGTACATGCTGTAATTTCTACTGTACTCTACCCTCACCCCTCTCTCTCTTGCAGATAAAGGCAATCCTAGCTCTGTGGTTCGATGAAGACATCCTGGTCTGGGTTCTCTGCAATATCTTTTTGGTAGGAACAGAAACCACAATAACCACTTTATGCTTGGCACCACTCCGTATTTTGACTCATTGAAGAGGAGGAGACTAACGAGGTCACACGCACAACCGCTTGGATTGTGCTTTCTCAGAGAACACATGAAGGTCAGCATACCAGCATCAACAGGATGGAAATGTAAAGGTAACTGCACCTCCACTTTGGCAAAACTTATAAAATGGCAGTATACTGAAATTTCATACTCCTTGTGAGCTGGCAGTAGCTGGCAAATACATCTTTGATTTATTGAGAATCATGAGACTGACCCAGGCCAATTAGCTTCAGCTTCATCATGCTGTCATGCATTCTGGCAAGAAGTAATTCACTCTTTTTTCTTTCCCTTGAGAGTCAGAATAAAAGCAGGGGGAACTGGGCATGTAACAAGCCTTTTACACCACTCTCTCTCCTGTTCTGTCCCAGCAAAAGTGCTGCTGAGCACAGCCTCGAGGTCTCCAGGTCTCTCCAAAGGTGGTCACAATGAGAGAGTAGCGCTGTCAGATGGGCATTCAATAAGAGAGGGAAACACCCATCCTTAGCATCCAGCTGTGATGTGGGATCAAAACCGTTTTTCCTTTACAGGTCACCGCTGTTCTCCTTGCTCACTGGCATGTCTTACAGTTTCCTCTGAAAAGTTAAATGGCTTTTGTGCCATTTGCTAGCTAATAATTGATTTTGAAGTGTTATAGCATGCTTTTATATTGGGAGGATTTCATTACTGCTGTAGAATATATTACAATACAGTGGCTGCTGTTAAAATGTCAGTTACCACTACAAGGCTATACTCTAGCCTCTAGGTTTTTTTTGTTACTGTTTTTGGTTTGTTATTTTCATAAGTTTAAAAATGCCTCCTTGGCTATTTCAACAGCAATTAGTCACAGTATTTTTAATGCTAAAAATATTTCAGATGTTTTCATTTGTAATAACACTGACCAGAATAAGTCTTTTATTGTCTTGTCACCCATTTGACACCAATATTGATGTGTCCTGAGTTTCACAGAATGATTTAGCTAAACTCCTTTGCATTCAAATAACAATTCTCAACAAAAACATCTTAACTTTTTCATAAACAGTCATGTGTGAAGTGACATTAAGGCTGTTTCTGACAGCTCAGTCTCAAGAGCTCCTCCTCCAGTGAGGAGGAGTCTATTTTATTGCATATGATAGAGAAAGATGCATAATTTGTACAAGAGGAGGGATTTTCCTTTATCTGTGTGCAGGCCAGTCTGGGGTCAACCCGTCAGAGGAAAGTGCCTGCTGATCACAGCAGGTGTTACTGGTGAGCGGTTAAATCTGCAGAAAGAATGCAGTTATACTTTCTCCTTTAAATGAGAGTATTTGCAGAAACTCTGGGCTAGGAATGTAGTACACAGCTTCAATGCCGAAAAGTAGTATCATGACTCCCACCTGCCTTGGGGATATTGATCAAATTCATGTCCATTCTTACCAGGCCTGTTGAAAGTAAGGGAAAAATAGCTACAATGCTTGCACTTAGAATGCGATAAAATCATAATGGAAACCACTTTCCTCCCCCGTGCTTGCAGATCTTGGAAGGAGGATTTAAATTCCTGATGCCAAAGATGGATGAAATTAACTGATGAATCTCCCAGAAAAAGGTTTGATTTGCATGGACTCTTTTGCATAGACTCTTGAAGCCTTTTGCAATGACTGATCATCTTTCTCAATACTTCTGAAGCACATCAGATTTAATAGATTTGTTTTCAGTCTTCCATAAAGTCCTGCCATTATCATGTCTCCCCACCCCTGAGCTCATCCATACACTTGCTACCTATAAAACCTCATTAGGTCATTAGCAAAGAACGTTTTAGCGCATTAGAAAGAAACAATCACCAGAGAGCTTAATATAATTTCTGTACAGGGTACTTCTCTGTCTTCTGTCACTGAAGTGGTTAACTGGGAATGTATTTGTGACAGCAACAGCCCTAGGAGCTCAGGCAGTAGGAGGGACTCTGAGGCAGAGATGATTCACATGAAGATTCATGCTACAGCTAAGGTAACCAAATAGTGAGAGTCTGCCACAAGCAGTTATCCTGCCATGTTCTCCCTCTGCCACGTTCTCCCTCTGCTTCTGCTGCATTAGCAAGACTGTGACCAGGAGGTGAGCGTGTTCAGATTGCTGAGCTGGCAGAAAACTATTCCTATAAATAAAAATGAAAGGCTATTCATCAGATCAGTTAGATGAGTCCATTCACTTTGTATTCTTTGATCAGTAGATCCAGTCCTGGGTGAAAGGGGAAATGAGGGGGCAGAACTATTCACTCTCGAGGCATTTTGCTTTGTAATTAGATTATAGACTGGTTACAGCATAAAACTGCATGAAGCAGCTTGCCCAGAATCACACTGGTGGTCTGTAGCACAGCAGAGAATAGAACAAGCCCTCAGTCTGATGCAGATGTCCAGACCAGGGCACTAGCCTTGTCCTCACTGTGAGAGCAGAAAAGTGGCTCACCTCAGTTCTCCTGAACTGCTCTTCCTGCTGTGCACAACGCAAGGGACACACTCCATTACAGCCCAGCTGCGTGTGCTCTGGATTGGATGTTACGCTTAACTTGCTTGTGCTGTCCAATGCTCCAATAGGAAGGGTGCCTGTGGGGGTGTGGATCAGGGGGCGATAACTCTCAGGCTGGAAGGTCACAGCAGAGAGCACTGGGAGTGAGGTGGGGAGAGCAATGTTCTCTGGAAGTCAAATTTTTATGGGCATCCTTGTCTTTCTCTTTGTCTGGATTTCTCTGATATTCCTGAACATCCAGAGAGTGCGAAGGAAACTGCCTCCAGGACCAACACCTCTCCCCTTCATTGGCAATCTGGGAACACTGGACTTCCAAATTCATCATGAAACTCTCTTGAAGGTATTGTTACTTATTATAGTTTTATGACTAGTCCAAGTGCAGACACAGCAAGACTCCTATCATATCCTTGGCTGGAAAGTAAAAGTATCTTTCTGCTCCTCCCTGACTTCAGTCTGAACTATGAGCTTTCTAGGCAGAACCTCAAGACATGTGTTTCCCTGTAGGACAGCAGTGGATCAGCAGTGAGTGAAGATGGGCCGTAGCAACAGCTGCGAATAGCACCAATAGCTGAACACTCAGACAGGCAAAAGTAACCTCTGCGGGAAGCTTGTTACTACAGTACAAGCTACAGGGAGGGAGGAAAGGAAACAGGAGGAATACGCAAAAGTCATCAAAGAGAGGCAGAAAGCAAAGCTTATTACTTTGAGAGACTAACTCCCTCACTGACTGAATAGCCGAGCTTAACAGGTTGAGGTCAGCGGCCCAAAGTCTGGTAGGAGGCCAATAACTAGTAGGGTTCCCCAGGGATCAATACTGGATCCATTCCTGTTCAACTCATTCATCAGTGACCTGGATGATAGGACAGAGTGCACCCTCAGCAAGTTTGCTGATGACCCCAAACTGGGAGGAGTGGCTGATACATAGAGGGTTGTGCTGCCTTTCAGAGGGACCTGGACAGGCTGGAGAGATGGGCCCAGAGGAACCTCCTGAAGTTCAATAAAGGGAAGTGCAGCATCCTGCACCTAGGGAGGAATAACTCCACGCACCAGTACAGGCTGGGGACTGACCCACTGGCAAGCAGCTCTGCAGAGAAGGACCTGGGTGTCCTGGTGGACAAGTGAAGCATGAGCCAGCAATGTGTCCTTGTGGCCAAGAAGGCCAGTGGTATCCTGGGCTGCATCAGGAAAAGCACGGCCGCAGGTCGAGGGAGGTGATCCTCCTCCTCTCCTCAGCCCTGGTGAAGCCACCACACCTGGAGTGCTGTGTCCAGTTCTGGGCTCCCCAGTATAAGACAGATACGGAGCTCCTGGAGCGAGTCCAGCAAAGGGCTACTAAGATGATGAAGGGACTGGAGCATCTCTCCTATGAGGAAAGGCTGAGAGAGCTGCGACTGTTTAGCTGAGACAAGAGAAGACTGAGGGGGGATCTGATCAATGTGTTTAAGTATCTGAAGGGAGGGTGTAAAGATGACAGGGCCAGACTCTTCTCTGTGGTGCCCAGCGACAGGACGAGAGGCAATGGGCACAAACTGAAGCACAGGAAGTTCCATCTGAAAATAAGGAAAAACATTTTTACTGTGAGGGTGACTAAGCACTGGAACAGATTGTCCAGATTGAACAGGTGTCCAGAGAGGTGGTGGAGATCTCCATCCTTGGAGATATTCAAAAGCCATCTGGACAGAGCCCTGGGCAACGTGCTCTAGGTGACCCTGCTTGGGAACAGGATTGGACTAGGTGATCTCCAGAGGTCCCTTCCAACCTCAACCATTCTGCGATGCTGTGAAATCCTGCAGCCTTTATTTCGGCAACATTGCTGTTGACTGGTTATGTTTTGGCACAACAAGGCCTTGAAAAGCTTCCTTAGACAGAGGCCTGTCCCAGCCAATACATAAGAAGCAAAGTGGATGAGTTTGCAGTACACTGGAGGTATTACTGCTCCAGGCCAGACCTTGCTGTTAGGGATAGAAATGAATGAAATTGCTTTTAGGAGAAAGGACAAAGAAAAGCTTTGTTACCTGTGGTGTTAGATTTCGAAGCTTGGGTTGAGACAACAATTTCTCATCCTCAGGGGTCTGCTTGTTTTGGGAGGGTGTTGCAAACATCAGAAATCATCGGATAGTCACTGCAAAACAACCAAGCAGATAGATTAAAGTCTTAAGCCATTTGGTTACATGAGCAAGCAACTGCACAGAACTACAGCTAGGCGACATTTTATATACTATTTGGTACAGTAGTGTATTGACACAGTACTATTCTGGCTTTTTTTTTGTCTTGGACAGTGCAGAGGCACAGAAGGAATGCCTTAGTAATGCTGCTGATGTTCCTTAATGTGGTTCGTACACTGCATCTGCCAAAGAAGATCCTTTCCTTTCCCCATGTGCTGCTTCAGGATGAGCCAGGAAGGATTCATGCTGAAAATTCTTGCCATGTCCCCATCTCTGGCTCTCCTGGGAAGCTCTCTTTGCAGCAATGTTGGTGGAAAGGGAAATGAGAAAGTCTGAGAGGTGCATGAGACAAGATGCATCATCAAGTCTCCCTATTTTCCTGTGTGTAGATGAGAAAATGTGGGCTCTGAAGTTCCCTTGGGTATCAGATGGAATCCAATTCGAGGATTTGTGCAGTTGTTTTTTCTTCCCTCTCCACCTTACTCGGGCTATTAATTATGGCAAAAGACTTGACTTCTGACTGCTGTGGAAACAGTTCTTAAAATTACTCTACTCACCTGGTCTTTTTGACTTACTCTTCCCTAGAAAAAAATCACCCATTGCTCACAGTGAGTGGCAGCAACAAGGCACCTGATCATATTTGCATGCATTTTCAATATGGCCAGCATATTTAAGAATTCCTGGCTGCATCTTTATTTCCTCCAGCATTGATAGGGAAGAGGCCTGCACCCATCTCCAGAGAGATGTGGTCCTGCTTATAGATATCTATTCCTGAGCTATGTATGTTGAGTTCAGCAACACAATATGACCACTGGATTCCTAAGAGCAAATTGCAGAAGTCAGGACATGTGTGGAAACTGTGCTTAGTCAAACTGTTAACAGCTTTACAAATGTCTGGTTTTACCAGTTCCCTGAAAATCCCTGGAGCACAGATATGCCTCTTCAACCTTTACGTGTCCATCATACATGATTAAAGTGCTGCAGCCACTCAGAAAAAGGTTGTACAATACCTATATGTATACACACACACACACACACATATGCATATTTAAATATAGTTATATGTGTGTGTGTATATATATTTGTATATACGTAATACCGAAAGTATACGTGGGCACCATCCTTATTCATCCCCTTGCTTCACACTTTAAAATCCCTGAAACAGATGTTCAGAAATTCTTACCTCTGGTGTCCTCCTACCGTTATAGTCACAGGCTAGCTGGTGTTGTTACTATCTGAACTACTAATTCTTTGAGCAAGTTAGTGCCACCCTGTTTTCCCTCCCTGTGCGCAATGAGATCTTTCTCAAATATCCAAGGTCAGGGTTCAAAAGTGGTCTCTGATTTCTGAGACTTGATTTGCAGAACTACTCAGAGCCCAAACTCCAGCTGCAATCAGTAGGCTCTGCAGGAGCTCAGCACTTCCTAGGCATCTCACGATACCCAACACTTCTCAAATGAGGTACCCCAAATCAGTGGCTACACTTGAAAAGTTTGGCTCAACTGCCTCACTGTGCTACACTGCAAGCGCAATGCTCAGCGCAACACTGAGCAAACATTACCATCTAATGGCTGCACATGTTAACTACAACTATAATTTCTATTTTAACAACGAAGGCTTTTCCTTGTGTAATTACTGATATACTGAAAGAGCAATACGTTTGGGGGGAAAAAAAACATGGAAAGACAATAGAAGTAGTATTTATGATTTTGCAGTATCCTTCAATCACCTCTGGTGGGGCAACATAAATTGGAAAAATCTTGTTTAAGTGTTTCTGGGTAACGTGACATGGCAGTTGGCTATTTAAACTGCAAATACACAAATAATAAAAGTCATAAATAATAACGCAATGCAGTAATAACAGTGAGAGCTCTCTAAGATGTTAATAGTGAAACATGATTCCATCCCTTTTTATTTCTTGACAGAAGGACAACATTTCTCCCTTCCCTTTCTTGGGCAATGCCCCAGACAAACTGCAAACCAGCCCTTGCATAAGAGAAATGATCTTTCATCTCTGGTCTAACAGTACCACTGGATGCGGACAGGAGACACAGCCTCTTCGTAAATTCTTCATGTCTATATGCCATTGTGTGTCTCATTGTCTCTCTAGATGGTGAGGATGTATGGAAATGTATACACACTGTGGCTGGGAAGAACACCGGTGATTGTGCTGAATGGATTCCAAGCAGTGAAGGATGCCTTGATTGAGCACGCTGAAGAATTTGCTGAGAGACCCATCACACCCTTCTTTAGGGATGTCGTGGGAGGCCCCTATGGTACTTTCTGTTGTTGTGTGTACTGATGTATTTTTGTCATAACAAACTGTTCAGAGGATAGGGTGGGGTACAATGACTGCACCTACTCTTAATGCCTCTTCTCAAGATGTGCTGCTCTTGTTAGCAAGATGAATTCTGTAGACTCACTGTTCCACATCCTTCTGAAATGTGGGGCCCTAAATGTGCATGCAGTACACAAAATCAGCGGGTTTATACCAACAAAAAAAAACATTTATATGCTTGCATAGCCTGGGCAATTCTTAGTAATTGAGCATGTTACCAACCTATCTCAGGAAGTCTTTGCAGTAAAAGGCATAAAGTTGTAAGCGTATCAACTAGTAGGACTCAGTGTGTGTTGAGTATCTTTCTAGGTAAAGAAGGAGAAAAGGAAAGGCGGACATGGGGATTAAGTAGATGTGAAAAAAACAGCACAAACATCTCTGAGTTCTTATGCAAGTACTGTTGGGGATCCTTCCAAATTCATGCTGGCAAGTCTTCGAACCACTGTAATTTCATCAACCCTGCTTATGGGAAAGCCAGACCCATACTTCTCCCCAGTCATTCTCCATTTCATTGCAGGCATCATTTTTTCCAATGGGCACACCTGGAAGGAGCAGAGACGGTTCAGCCTGATGACTCTGCGGAACCTGGGTCTAGGCAAAAAAAGCCTGGAAGCCTGGATCCAGGAGGAAGCCAACTGCCTGGTCAAGGTCTTTGCCAGAGAAAGAGGTGAAACATAGATCTGTATGTGGTCATGACATGGCACAAATATCTCACTTTCTGTTTGAATGAGTACTGACTCACTGACCGGCATGTGGAAGGGCTCATTCTCCTTGAGTATTTCAAACCCTGTCTTTTCTACTGGAGGTTGCCAGTTTCCCTAATTTCTACAGATGATGCTTTCACAATTCATTTTGCACTCAGCTGGAACATCACATCTGACTCATTGCTTTCACTCTAACCCTTTACTGGGGAAAGTACTGGGGAAGTACTCCTAAATTGTCCTTTTCTGCAGGATGGAATCCTTCCCTCATTCATTATAAAGGTGCCCAAAGAATGATCTCCCAATTAGACTCTTGTATCTTGACCCCTGCAGGATCAGTTATTTGTGTAATCCCATGCAAATCAGGAGTAGGCTGGATGGAAGTGTGACAATCGGCCATAGCCTGCACAAGAAGATAATGATGCAACTTTCTCTATTCATAGGCAGACCTATGGATCCCTCTCTCCCCATCCTTTCTTCCATCAACAACGTGATTGCTGCTGTGCTTTTTGGACATTGCTTCTCTACAGAGGCTGATGCGTTCCAGAGGCTGCTCAAAGGCTCGCAGGCCATGGCGGGATTCCTAGGCACCTTCTGGCCTCGAGTAAGCAAAAGATTGACCCATTCCCTCCAACTATATCAAAACCCTCTGGCCTTCCTCAGTGAGCTGTGGCATGAAATAGCCATTCTTTGCCAATGCCCAGTGATAAATAAGAGCTCTTGACTAAAGAAGACTGAGAGGCGATCTCATCAATGTGTACAAGTATCTGAAGGGGGGCGGGGGGTGTCGAGAGGATGAGGCCAGTCTCTTCTCCATGGTGCCCAGTGACAGGACAAGAGGCAACGGGCACAAACTGAAACACAGGAAGTTCGGTCTGAACATGAGGACAAACTTCTTTCCTGTGAGGGTGACTGAGCACTGGAACAGGTTGCCCAGAGAGGTTGTGGAGTCTCCTTCCCTGGAGATATTCAAAACCCACCTGGACGCGATCCTGGGAAATATGCTCTAGGTGACCCTGCTTGAGCGGGGGGGTTGGACTAGATGATCTCCAGAGTTCCCTTCCACCCTCAGCCATTCTGTGATTCTGTGGTTCTGTGAAATACTGAACTCCGCTAAAAACAGCACTCCAGTTCCATTCTTTCTCAGTAATGGTTCCTCCACAAGCATTCATGGCTATCTCTGTCCACAGACCCATTGAATCTCCCACACTAATTCTCTTTCGACAGATTGATCTGACTTTATATTAAGATTATTCAGCATCAAGCCTGCCTTGGGGCCACACTCAGGTTTTTCCTCTTAGCTTTTTCCTTGAAGGGTTCTTTAATAGCCTACTTTCCCTATGTTAGATTGGGATCCTTCCAAACCGTTCAAAAAAATAGAGAAAGTTAACATTGTTGTGGCTTTGAGAACTACAGCAAAGTGCTGACTTAAGGTGTAAGAGGGAACAGGCATTTAGGGAGAGGCTTCACTTAGAAAACATAAGGAAAGCTGTACTGTAGCAGATTTAAATCCATCAACTCTAAAAGGTATTAGTGGAAAGCAGGTAATCTGGAAAGTAACTGTATGCTAATGATCACCCTTTGCACACTTTCTTCCTCCAAAATAGATAATAAATAAAATTAAGTGGTCATTTATTTCCTATAGTTTGACAAATAATATACCTGGATCATAGCCATGGTCAGCCACGGTTCAGCTGTGAACGTTTAGGCTTTAAAGAGTAGCTAAGATGTCACGGTGTTCCCTGTACCTGTATTTTCATGTGCAGCTCTACGATACTTTCCCATCACTGTTGAAGCACTTAAGCCCTGTGTTAATGAGATCACTGGTGGCATTAAAACACCTGCAGGATCTACGTACAGTTATTAAGGATGAGATCAGGAACCACCAGGAGAGCTGGGTGCCTGGAGAGCCACGGGACTTCATTGATGCATACCTAGCTCAGATGTTAAAGGTAACAAATAACTAACTGTCTTTTGTGCAGCTGCAGCATATTTAGAATACTTGTAGCTAAGATACTTCCAGCTGCATGTCTACCTCCTCCTCTTCTTCCTTCTCAGAGTCTATTTGTTGGGATATGTTTCTTTTAACTCCCCCTCAAAAGCAAAGTATTTTCGCAAAGTACTAAGGATGTTCCTTGGTAGTCACCACAGAAACAGTAATGTTTCTCTACTCTCGACTGGAAAAAAAGTGTATTGTACACTGCTGTCCTCAGGAAGATTTTTTTTAACAGATCTATATGGCTGCTAGTTTTCCAGCTTCATCAATTCACTGTGGAACCTCTGAGGCAAAAAGCTCTGTTGCTGGAAATGTGCTATGCTATTAAAACTGCTTTACATTGCATTCATTGTCTCACATCTGAAGACAAAGGATGACCCCACATCTACGTTTAAAGAGACCAACATGGTGCAAGTGATCACAGACCTCTTCATAGCGGGTTCAGACACCACCACTATCACGTTATGCTGGGCTCTCCTCTACATGATGATGTACCCAGAAGTACAAGGTGAGAAATGCATGCACCTGCATTTACATCTGTGACTGTCCTTGCGCACTGCAGAGTAATAAGCAAAATTCAGTTGTCTCCCCTGCCCAAATTTTGCAGTTTAAGATGTCTTTGGCTGTTTGAGTCTCAGCATAGAGCCTAAGTATCAACTGCCTTCCTGAATGCTCACTACTAGCCTTTTTCTTCTGCAGAACGAGTCCAAGAAGAATTAGATGCTGTCATTGGTCCATCTCGTGCAATTGAATATAAGGACCGAGTGATCTTGCCGTACACAAATGCAGTTCTGCATGAGATTATGCGTTACAGCAGCATAAGTGCCATAGGGGTAATGCGCAAGTGCACCCAGGATACCATTCTACAAGGCTTCCCTATCACTAAGGTATGTTAAAGCCACAATATTTTTTGGTATGATCCTTAGATAAAGCAAAGAAAGGCAATCGATTCTTTTTACCTTTTTAACACCATATGTTGTGCTTATATTTTGCCCCAGGCAAAGCTGAGTTTGAACAACTTGTGCAAAACTCTTCATTGTGAATAGGAGGCAGGACATTATCTACATCCTACAGTAGAAATAAACTCCTACTCAGCTTCACTATCCTTTTGCAAAGATGCTCCTTATAATGGTTTTTCTATACCAGATTTCAGGAGTTAGATCAGTATAATTATATCAGTATAATGATCTTGTTCTTCTTTAAAACTGATGCAAGTCAAAGCCAAGTAGAAAAAACAAAGAAAATCTTGAATAATAGTGTTCATAGACACAACTTATTGTATAAGCAGAATGCTTTAGATCCATATCCAACCTTATACAGGTGGTCTTCCCAATGGACAAGACCTGTGTGGCTCTCAGGGAAGATGCCTTTGAAAAAGCAAGATGAAAAGTCAGAGGTCTTGGGACTGTGAAGCCTTCAATTCAGCATTTTTTTCCAAAGTTTCTGATTATTGCAAGCACAATTTTCTTGTAAAATACTGTGCTCTGATGCTCTAGAATCAATGTTAGAAAATACCTAATCATTTCTAAATAAGCTATTCTGCAGGAGAGAGCTTAGCATGACCGTGTTTCTCATCCCATAATAATTAGATGGCACATGCATTGGGCAATTTCAAGAGAGCAATTGGCACTTTGGCAATTTATGACATTAGTGCCTAACTTTGTGAAAAAGATCCTTTTATGTTCATTTTCTCTTTCTGTAGGGCACCTTAATTTTCCCCAACATATTTTCTGTCCTGTATGACAAAGAGCAATGGGTGACTCCTCGACAGTTTAACCCTGGTCATTTCCTGGACAAGGATGGAAACTTTGTGAGCAGAGAAGCCTTCATGCTCTTTTCTGCAGGTGAGAGCAATCCTCAGTATTGCTCACAGCTTTCCTATAGTGATTGTTTCACAGGCCAAAACCTTCCTAACATTCGATCTGCCACGAGTATTTTTGTTCATTCCCATAATAAGGTCTATGCAGCAAAAGACAGAGGTGCTGATTTCAGAGACCGGTAGCAGCTTCACCTTCTTGAGGAAAAAAAACTAAGACTACCTAGTGTCTGAAATTCTCAACAAAATGAACTGCGATTGTGGAAATGAGGTAGATTGTCCCGTGGGAAAAAAATGACAAATTAAAGATCCCTCAGAGAGCAGGGGATAGAAGTCTGTTTACTAATTAAGAACTGGCTCCTGGAAGATACTGGAAATCTCTACCAATATTGATATCAGTGGACACCAAGAGGCCAGCAGATGAAGCTGCTGCATATCAGGTTTATTTATGAACAGCATTTACATATGAACAATTTTTAGAACGCACATTCCTGATCTACAGGTTAAGGATTTTCTCTGACTCTATCCATGTCGTAAGTTGGTGGAGAAACAGAAAGTACTTTGGTCAGAAATCTGATCATTAATTCTGCTGGATAGCAGAAATTATTGGGCAGAGGTTTGTAAAAAGCTATGAGAAGATTCTCTTCTCATGGGGCAATGTCTTCTCTTCTCATGTAGTGTGAGGGGAAGCTGAAGGAGGGATTATCTCCCTGCCCTCTATGAACTGTCCATTAACCTCTCCTAACACATCAGGCATTGCAGGGTTTTACTGGTATATTTTTTCTCTCCTCTTCCCATCTCGGACGCTATCCATGTCTCAGGTGAGAGACACTAGAGAAATACAGCGACCGTAGACGTTGGAAGGGGCTGTAGATCTCAGCAGCTCTGTTCACAGGGTGCCCCAAGATGAGTGTTAACAGATCTAGAGCACTTCTCTGCTTTCATACCGCAGTAAGTGGCTACACGTAGGGACTGCAAATCTCTCCTGTTCTTCTGGGCTTCACAGCAGAGATGTGCTCTTGCCTACGCGGGGGTGAAGCCCACGCATGACACATTCTCCTCGCTCTGCAGGCCACCGCGTGTGTTTGGGGGAAGGGCTGGCCAGGATGAACCTCTTCATCAGCTTCAGCAGCCTGCTGCGGGCCTTCACCTTCCGGCTGCCGGAGGGAGTGAAGGAAGCCGATGACCGGCCCATCGTGGGGTTCATCCTCCAGCCGCACCCGTACAAGACCTGCGCCATCCCTCGCTAGACGCTGAGGGGAAGAAGAAGGGATGGGCGCAGGCTGTCTGGCTGAGGGCCGCCCTGTCACCACAGGAGCTAGCCGGGAGTTTTAGGTGACATATGGTCACCCTTTATCCACCAGAGACAACTGAACAGTATGAATAAAACGGGGAAGCTACCTGAACCCCTCGGCCTGTGTCTCTCCGCACTGGGCGGCGTCGCCGAGGGCAGGGCGCCGCGCGAGGCCTCGCCGAGGGCAGGGCGCCACCCGCCTTTGGCGGCACGCCCGACTCGTGCCACTCCCAGCATGGCGGGGCCGCCCGCCGCCGCCGCG